TCTGACTTTTGAGTTGAATTGCAGCTGGGCTTTTAGGGTTTAGGTTTAGGGTTCAGGTACTTCGTGCAGAGGCACTAGTTTTCCAAAGGCTGGTGTGTTTGCCTGTGCACAGCAAGTACAAAGTACAATCAAGCTCTCAAAAAGATGGCTAACTTGCCACATGACATATTATCAGTATAGATATAGACGCGGATGTATACCACTCGTATTCGTATTCACACACCGCGGTCAATTTCCTGGTGATGCCTACGGCGGCTCCGAAGGGCTTCAGCAGAAGGCCTGGACCCTCGAAGTAGAGGGACATCATTGGCTTGCCGCCTGGTCCGAATGCCTGGTCATCAGACTGTATGGAGGGGGCGACGACCAAAAGATCGGAATGATCGGTCTGATCATACCCCATGGCATGTCTGTAGAAGACTCTATCGAACATCGCAAGCAGGACATAAACGCCAGGATGGCCCGGCGTTTATGACGCCCTCTTCCAACTGCCTGAACATGGCAAGTCAGCGCAATTGCTCGTTCTCCAATAGGAGTTGCTCGTTCTCCAGCAGGAGTTCTTGGGTATAAGGGTTTCGGGATTAGGGATCTAAAATCCTTGCATAACCCTGAGCCTGTATATACCTCACTTTGGATCTGTTTTTTGGGCCTTTGCCTTTGCATATGTTGGCCGCTTCCAAGTTGCCCCTGCACCCATCCCTACGTTTAGTTAGTGTTATTACCACCAGTTGCTTAAGAACCCCGGAAAATAAAAATGATATTCCCTATTAAGGGTAATATAAGGAATATGTTTCTTTATTCTTTTGGGGTTGAGCAAATAATAGATTATGGCCATCATCATTGGATTGTAGGCCTAGGCTTGCAGTGGGTAGGGTGTAGGCCAGACTTTGCGCAGGTTGCAACAGCCCATCCGGATGCTCAGCGGCGGCTGGCGCATGAAGCTCTGCCGGCTTGGTTTCAGATTTTGGAACTAAGGGTTTGTGGTTTAGGGTTTGGGGCTTCGGTTTAGGGTTGAGCACGGGCCCCTAACAAGCTGTAAAACTCCAATACGAAGAAACGACGATTTTTTCAGAATGGTCGGACCTGAGTAGCCCTGAACCCAAGACGGTGCAGCTTAAGGTTTTGCGTCCAGAACGTAGGGCCCTGCGCCCTATGCAGGTCTTGGTTTAGGGTTTAGGGTTTAGGGTTTAGGGTTTAGGGTTTAGGGTTTAGGGTTTAGGGTTTAGGGTTTAGGGTTTAGGGTTTAGGGTTTAGGGTTTAGGCCATAAAAAAGGAGAGTATTCTTCCTTGGAATTAAGGGTAATCTGGGTGGTTTCCGAAATTCCGAGTACCTTATTGGGATCCATATTCTATGGGAATGCGCCCATTTGGAGACTATATTCGGGGTCAATTAACTTCGTAAACCCCCTCTTAGGGATTATCGTGCTGTGTTTTTTGGGGGATTTCTTAAGCACACGGTATAGTTGCAGAAGGACTTGATAAGGAAGACGACCTTTCAGCCAAGCATTCTTATAGGGTTTATATAGGGTTTGTTGGGTTTATAGGGTTCCTATGTGAAACAAGACCACAATTGGCACGTAGCACGACTACTGTCTGTCAAAGGGTAGCCTTCAACTGAGGCTTGCGAGCCCCTATGTCGAGGCGGAACCCGACCTTTAGCCGAATACCCTAAACAATACCTAAACCCTAAACTTTAAACCTTCAATCCTAACCTTATATTGGTTGGTGGTCTCTTTAAGTGGGGTTTCTGTTTTGTAGGGGGTTCTTGTTAGGGTATCTAGGGGCTATAGTAAGGTATAAGGGACACAGATAAAGGGGCAACCGTTCTTCAGAACCTGAACCCTAAACCTTCTAACCCTAAACCCCAAACCCTAAACCCTAAACCCCCCTTAAGCCCCTTAAACGTTCGCCCAAAGTCTCCCCCATGGATTCGCCAGGTTGGGCCTGGCCCGGGCCATGCTCCAGGCGCCCCTGCGTGGGGGTGGGTTTAGGGTTTGTAGGGTGTATGGGTATTCTTCTTTTAGGGTTTAGGGTTTAGAGTTTAGGGTTTAGGGTTTACGGTTTAGGTTTGTTTGGGTGGAAAAGGTGCAGCCCATCTCCAACATACCGGCCCTAAACCCTGGACCCTAAACCGCGTTGTTGGGGTGCCACACCCCAGGAATGCCCAACCCCAGAGGTGCCCAACCCCAAGAGTGTCCCCACACAATGCCTGGAGTGCCCAACCCCTAAACCCTAAACCCTAAACCCTAAACCCTAAACCCTAAACCCTAAACCCTAAACCTCTGACTGTTTGGGGTTTAGGGCTTAGGGTGTAGCATCCCCGGAGAATCCCCAAGCGTGCCCAACCCCAGCGTGAGCTCGCATATTCTTTGCCTGCAGGACGGGGATTCTCGAAGTAAACTATTTTTTTAAGGGTGCATTTTGGGGTTTGTATATAAGCGCGTAGGCCAAAGAGTCGTTTTCAAAGGCAGCAAGCAAGCGCATCTTTCCGTGCGCTAACACCAGCTTTCTGCAGTGGCGATGTAGGACTTTATGGCTAAAGAAACATGTCTTGGGGCCGGGGGATTCCTTGACCCGAAACCCTAAACCCTAAACCCTAAGCCCTAAGTCCTAAGCCCTATAAGCCCTATATGCCCTAAACCCTCAACCCTCAACCCTAAACCGTAAACCCGAACCCTAAACCGTAAGGCCCGAACCCGAAACCCTAAACCGACTTGGCTCAGAAACCGGTGGGACCCCGGGCGCGCGAGCGATTAGGTGGGCGGACTGTGTGGCTCCTAAGCCCTTAGACCCTTAAACCCCTAAACCCTTAAACCCCTAAACCCC